TGTGTGTGTGTGTAGTGTGTGGTGTGTGTGTGTGTGGTGTGTGGTGTGTGTATGTGGTGTGTGGTGTGTGTGTGTGTGGTGTATGTGTGTGTGTGTATGTGTGTGTGGTGTGTGGTATGAAGTGTATGTGTGTGTGGTATGTGGTGTGTGTGTATGTGTGTATGTGGTGTGTGGTGTGTGTATATGGGTGTGTGGTGTGTGTGTGTGGTGTATGTGTATGTGTGTGTGGTGTGTTTGTGTATATGTGTGTATGGTGTGTGTGTGGTGTGTTTGTGTGTGTGTGTGTGTGTGTGTGTGTGTGTGTGTGTGTTAGCTTTTTGTCAACTTGATGCTAACTAGAGTCGTCTGAGAAAAAGAGAACCTCATTGAGAAAACCCATTGTCACACTGGCCTGTGGACAACCTATTGGGCATTTTCTTGATTGATGTGGGAGGTTCTAGCTCACTGCAGGAGGTGCTGGTGTCTATGAAACAGCAAACTGAGCAAGCCAGGGGGACAAAGCCCAGGGCTTTTCTGTTTTTGGAGGCATCCCAAATAGAGCTACTGGATAAGATCAGGAGCTCAGCCTGAAGGCGTGCTTGCTGTTGGGACAGGGACACAGTTTAACAATTACACGATGTGGTCTCATTAATTCCCCTGTGGCTCAGATCTTCAGTCTCCCCAGATCCCATATGCTAAATAATGAGATCTGGGGACAATGGTGGCCAGCTTGTGGTACCGTTTGGAGGTGGCACAATCTTTAAGATGTAGAACCTAGGAGGAGGAAGTTAGGTCATTGGAAGAGTGCCCTTAAAGAGGGATCCTAGGACCCTGACCCTCCCCATACCTTTTCTTCTCCTGGCTACCATGAGATGAACGGTGTCGAGCATGCACTCCCCCGAGATGTAATGTGCCAGTGCAGCCCCAAAATAAAGGGGCGCAGAGACCATGAACAGCAGCCTCTGAGGCTATGACACCACATTAAAAAAAACACCTTTCTGCCCTTTAAACGGTTTACGTCACGTATTTTGTTACAGCAGCGGAAAGCTAGGAAACACAAATAATATACAAATATAGACTATTTACAGAACACCAGCAACATACAAAACATACAGGTAGGAAAGGAAATCTCTCTGATTCTTGAGAATCCAAAACATCCATGTCTGCCCAGCATGGGGCCGACCACTTCTGAGACGAGGGCGGTCTGCAGACATCCTTAGGACTTGATAGAGTTTCCACTTCCGTCCCTCATTTCTGTTTCTCACAGTTTCAATGTGGTCCCACTTTAGTGAGCACCAAGGGCTCACATTACATTCAGTGGTCATTAAAAAATAATCATTAAAGTCTCTCTCTCTTTTTTAGACAGGGTCTCGGTCCAGCTTGGCCTTGAAATCCTGCTTCTCCTCCTCCACCTCCCAAGGGTTGTGCTTACAGGCAGACACTGCTGTTCCTGGCTTGTCTGGTGTCGGGGATTGAAGCTAAGACTTCCTGTGTGTTGGGTAAGCATTCTATCAGCCAAGCTACACTCTCAGCCCTAACTACTGAACTCTTTATAAAGCTGTAAACTCCAAACACATGGAGTGTTTTTTTTGTCGCTGGACCTGGCTCTTCGGTAGTCTGTACAAGTCCAGCATCAGAAAGTTCTAGAGTTGGACTTTTCTCCACTGGCCCTGCTGATCACAGTTCTGAGGCAGATGTGAGAAGGAAGGGGTCACAATGTGCCGGTGAGGGGGTTTCGTCCTTGGACCCCAGCTCTTGAGGTTCCGGCTCGCACGGGGTCCCCAGGGCACAGCTGTCGCTGAGATTCTGCTTGCTGCCTCTTGACTCTTGGGTGACGATGCTCAGCTTGTCGAATACCTCGGTCTTGTCAGAGACAGGCAAGGAGAGCAGCAGAAAGGTGCTGGGGTGGGGGTGGCCCAGAAACTGCAGGGAAGTTAAAGCCATTACTGAAGAACCAAATCCTCCCCGCCCCCACTCTTAAAGGCTGTTACTTAAGAATCAAATCACTCCCCTACCCCACCCCACCCTACCCCGTTTTTCTTCCTTTTTCTGGGCTGACAAGCAGGGTTTTATGCAAAACTTTAGGGCTAGAAAGATGCAACTTTAAAATGCAACAGTAACATTGTGGTGGCTCCCTTATCACACCACCCAGCAGTTCTACTCACGGGTATGTTCTCAAGGGAAATGAAAGCTGAAGAGACCCATTTAACGGCTGACAGCTACCCCACAGCAGGACAAAGGCAGGCATCCCCCAGGGATGAGCACACAGATGCTGCGCTGGTCCTTCAGTGGACCATTATTCTCTTTTTAAAAAGAGGAGCTTCTGGGCCGTGAGATCGCTCGGCAGGAAAGGGGGTTTCCCATGCACACCCGTGACCTGAGTGTGATCCCCCCACTCCATGGCAGGAAAAGAGAACCAACGCCTGGAAGTTGTCCTCTAGCCTAGGCTAAATGCGGCTCAGCCAGCAGAGTGACTGCCCAGCACAGCAGACAACTGGACATGGATGGTGCACATCCATGATCCCAGCCAGCACTTGGGAGGTGGGCACAGGGGGATCCGAAGTTCAAAGTCATTCCTGGCTGCATCGTGAGTTTGAGGTCAGCCTGGGCTACATGAGACCCTGTCTTTTAAAAAAAAGAAAGACAGGCAGCTAACGAGTCTGTGTGGTTGCACTTATGTGAGGGATCTGGAGAGGGATCTACAGAGACAGATGTTAGAATGGTGGCTGACAGGAAGGAGCGCCCGGGCGTGTTTAGCAGGATGAGCTTCCGCCACGCATGTGCGAAGGGCTCTGGGGGTGTGCTTGGTGGCGGTGGCGGCCTCAGGCCACAGAGCTCCCTTCTGAGATGGGATTAAGGTGGGGATGCTGCCTGTGTGTTAGCACAGTTAAGAGGCGGGGCGAGAACTGGCAGCGTGTCCACAGGACGCTCACTTGACACTCTCTGACAGTTTTTCCTGGAAAACAAGGTGGCCTCTGAGCCTGATCCCGAGGCTGTGAGCAAGCAGGGTGTTGGGGGT